CACACGTGTACAGGCTGTTGAGTGACTGCACGTGGACTCCAGGTCGCTGGATCACACACGTGTACAGGCTGTTGTGTGGGGTGGGGGCACTAGGGCTGGAATCAGCTTGACGCAGAGAGGACGAGGTGAGGTGCTCAACTGTGTGGAAGACACTCCCACGGCACCAGGGGAGAGCGGCTCCCGAAGCAAGGTGAGCGAGGAGCATGGACACAGCTCCCGGAGGCCATGCCACGCCGCAGAATGACACACGTGTACAGGCTGTTGATGCGCCAGTGACAGGACATCTGGGCTCTGGGGCCACACAGCGGGAGTTCCCATCTGGCTTGGCCCCTGGCTCGCTGTGTGATCCCTGGCCAATTATTTTACTGTTGGGCTTCAGCTTTGACTTGGGAGGGATCACGGTACCTACAGTCCCCACAGGGTCAGTCACTGGGGACGGGCATCCTGCTGATTAAGATAGAGGGTCAGAGAAAAAGAAGAGCCCCCCGCCATGAGATGGACAGACACAGTGGCTCAGACTGAACCCTTGTGAGGATGGCGGGAGGGGGTTCTCTCTTCTGCACATGGGTCCCCGAGAGTGGAAACGGGCTCCACAGCACCTAACGCGAATGCCCAGTGCGTGGAGGGCGACGTGAGATGCTTACAGCAAAGTGCTCAGGAGAGCAGGCAGCAGCCACACATTGTTACTGCATTGTGACTGCTCTTTTACCACACCCACTGCTGCTGCGTCAGTTACCACTCTCAGCGACCCCAAAGGACAGAGCAGGGCTGCTCTACACAGAGTGTGGGCTTCTAAGGCTGTAGAGCCTTCCCAGAGGCAGACTAAGCACATCTTTTTCCTTCAGAGCAGCGGGTGGGTCTACCGACTGACCTCGCAGCCCCGTGCTCAATCCACGGGGCCACCAGGGCTCAGTTTATTCTTCTCATGAGCAGATGACGTGACAGCCCATTAGGGAGACTGCTAATGACAAACCCACCAGCTGCTCCTCAGGACAAAGCTGAGGCCATCCGCTTCAGTAACGATCGACAGCCTCCGAAACCCCATGAGCAACGAGCCCCGGCTGAATACTCAGCCCCGATGGATCTGTAGCTGACCAGAGGATGGAGAGTGGTCACTCAGGGCCATCTCCAGGAAGGACAACGCACGTGGCTTTCTCACGGGCGGTTCTGAAAAGATGTGTCCGAGTGCTTACAAAGTACACACCCTTTCCTAGGGATTCTACTTGAAGGAATTACTCCCAAGGATATCGTTTTAATAAAGAAGAAAGAGACGTGAAGGTGTTGAGATACAACCTTCAACCGGACGACAAGTTGTGAAGGACCGAGACTGTAAACATCTTTAAATGCCCGACATGGACCCGCCATCCAGTGGGGTTCATGCCACTGCTGAAATGGTAAGACCTGTACTGAGCCAGAGCGCTGCCTATGGTATTGTAAAGCTAAACTAAGTAAATGCACAAATAAAATTCAGGTCCCACAAGACCGTGACTCTATGATTCCTTAGACGCTGAGGCCCCCCAGAGATCTGGCCCCATTGTGAGGCCCCCCCTCTGACCTCCTCTCAGACCCTGCCTGCGCTGCCCGCCCTGGTCGAGCTTTCTGGACCCCTGTGAGGTTTTTCTACACACGGTTTCGGACTTGTTTTCAGTGCCTGAAGTGGCTTTCTGCTGGGTCCCAGCTTCCTCCTCTTTTCCACGCTCTTCGAGTACCACTCCTAGGGGACCCCGTAGTGACCCCACTACGTGAATGCTCCCTCCCATCCTCTGCCCTTGACTTGGCTTTCTTCACAGCATCCGCCACCGCGCCCTGATCCTACCTGTTTCTGAGCTCTCCCTCCCCCCAGACTGCCGTCTTTTCACAGGTCTCGCCCCAAACACATTGAAGGCTGGAGAGCGCACTGAGGGCAATGCGGAAGAAAGGCCTGGCGTTCGCCTGGAGGAGTGGCCACGAGTGAGAAATCACTGATGGCCCCTGGCACCATAGCCAACATCCATACAGGCGGCAAGACCACACGCTCCCCAGACGAGAGGATGCTGGGTGAGGTCTGTCTACTGTCTCGTAAATGCTTTTCAGACTTTTAAAAAAATAAGTACAGCTCAGAAAACTAGCACACCGTGTGTTCCCTTGAGCCTGGGAACCAATGTCTGGGGTTAACAGCAGGTGCATTCTGTCTGGCTGAAGAACACGGCCCAGAATCCGTGTGTGTCTCCCACCGCCACCCCACCCCAGGTGCTTACATCGCAACAAGGGAACTTTCAACTGTATGCTTCTCATGCAAGAGAGAGCCGCGCACACAAACGCAAAGGAAAACAACCACCGAACAAAGACACAGACACAATCACAGCGGAGTGAAAGCAGAGCGGGAGCACTGTTACCAGTGGCAGGCTCGCAGGGCACTGGCGTGTAGTACTTGGAGTAGACCTCGTCCTTGGGCCGGTCGGGAAACACGTAGATGAGGTAACTCAGGTCCCCCAGGCGGTCGGCCAGGGACCGGATGGAGAAGTCCCGGGTAGTAAAAGGCATCAGGTTCCAGAACATTCTTTCCTCTAGACCAGGAAACAGAACAAACGTGTTTTCAACATGACTTCAGAACAGGAAGTCGTAGCACCCCAAAGTATCACTAGTCTAAAGTTCTCCTTGAGCGCTGGCCCGGTTTCCCCCCTACTGAGACAGCGGCCAGCTGTAGACAGGACAACTTTAAAAAGCCCTGAGTGGAGACGTAAGGGATGCACGCACTTCCCTGGGGACCCCGGGGGGGCTGCAGGTGCCCTCAAGTTTATAGAGGACTCGGCTCCTCTCTCCAAAAACAATGTACGAGGACCCGGTGCTTGGATCCCTGTGCTGACGTACAAGGCATGCCCACGGGCAGAGCGCTTGAAACCCTTACCTTGTTGCAGAAAGCCCGCACGGTGACTTTCATCTCCCCACAGGTGATCAGAGGGAAGAGTCCTGGTGGCCAGGGTCACTACAGTCCCCAGGGGGTGTAGGCAGCTGAGTGCCCATTGGCTAGCTGGTCAACCCCACCCAGAGGCGCCTCGGAAGGCAGGCCTGGTGACCTGTTCTGAAAGGTCCGGTCCTTGACAACACTCTGGGGCCATCTGCTCTGCGCCCAGGGATTGCCATGAATTGGTATTACCCTCAAGACCTCTCATGGGAATCTGTACAG